GAAGTTGCATCCTCCCAAGTGAATGCCTCCGGTCCATACCCTTTCCATTCAATCAGGTTTTGGAATCGCCCTTACATCCACCAAAAATCTTGAATACTGGTGACCACATACTCCAACGGACCTTCTCCATCATGTGGTGCTGGTGGGGAAGGGTCAGGTTGGCGAAGCGGACAGGAACCAGAAGGGAGCAATGGAAAACTGGATGAAACCATAGCGAGCGAGGCAACATCAGACGGTAGGCGACCAGGTTGATCACCGCCTCTACAGGAAATGGACCAAGGTACTGATGGGCAAACTTCCTCACTGGTCAGTCTAATGGAAGATGCCAAGTAGACAACTACACCCGATTCCCCACAGCCAATGGCGGCGTTGCTCCCCGAGAGCGGTCCACGACTTGCTTGTAGTCTTCCTTTAGCCTTCTCCAAATACCATCGCACCAATTGGTGAATGGCCTGCAACTCAGACAAAAAGTCCTTCGCCTCCGGAACCAACAAGTCGAGTGGAATCAAGGGGAAGAAATAGGGGTGGTAGTCCACATTGGTGAGGAACAGGGTGGTTTGCATGGAGGTGTGCTGTGAGTTATTGAACGCAAACTCTGCAACCGCTATGTAGTCTGCCCAATTATCCTGTTGCTCATTGACAAAGCAACGCAAGTACTGCTCCAGGATTCCAATCACTTTCACCGTCCCGACGTCATTTTCCAGATGGTGAGAAGTTCACAAACAGATTTTAATGTCCAAAGCTGTCGTCAGCCCTTTACAGAATTAGGCGGTAAACTGCATCCCTCAGTCTGACACCACCCGATCTGGGAGTCCATATAGCTGGAAGATGTGCTGGATAAACATGCAGGCGGTGGTGCGAGCCATGGGTAAGCCCTGACACGGAATGAAGTGCGCCATTTTGGTCAGCATGTCAACCACCACGAACACCATGGTGAATCCCGATGAGGGGGGCAGATCTGTCAAGAAGTCCATCGACAGGGCACCCGAAGGTCTCTCTGATGTTGGCAAGGGCTGGAGCAATCCTGGGGGAGCCCCTGTCACTGAGTTGGCCTGCCAGTATTGCACGCAAGACATCACATAGGACTGCACATCGGGTAATAGTCAGGGCCACCAGAAAGTCCAAGACACAAGGTGCAATGTCTTGAAAAGGCTGAAGTGCCCTGCCGCAGGGTTATCGTGGCACTGTGACAAGATAAGTCCCTGGAGCAGCTCTGCTGGGACATAGAACTTGTCATGGTAGCACAAGAGTTCCTTCTCAAACAACCACAGCAAGTTGGGTCCCACCTCTTGCTTCTGCTGATCTGCCCAAGCATCGTGCCACTGTGCCTCCCGTATCTGCGCCCGTAAGTCCACTGGCTCCTGCACAGTGGAAAACAACTCTATGGGCAGCACCATCCAGAGCGGGAGTTGATCCTTTGGACACAAGTACTCAGGCTTCCGGGAGAGTGCATCCACCCATTGGTTGCAACCACTTGGAACATAAGTGACACGGAAATTAAAGCAGGCAAAGAAAAGGGATCACCGGATCTGGCGCTGATTTAATTTCTGGGCGGTCTTTAAATGCTCCAAATTTTTATGGTCTGTCCGGACATCTACTTGATGGCGCGCCCCCTCCAAATGGTACCTCCAGGCCTCAAATGCCATCTTAATGGCCAGTAGCTCCTTCTCCCAGATGGTATCGTTGCGCTCAGTAGGATTGAGCTTCCTGGAAAGATAAGCGCAAGGGGAAAGGGTACCAACAGAGGTGTGAGCCTGGAGGAGCACCGCACTGACCTCCACATCAGACGCATCCACTTCCACCATGAACGGACGGTGTGGGTCGGCATGCTTCAGGATCGGCTCTGTCATGAAGGCCTGCTTCAAAGCCTGGAATGCCTACTGCTCAGGAACACCCCACCGGAATGAAACCTTTTTCTGGAGGAGCGGAGTGAGAAGCACAGTCAGGGAAGCCAAGCCGGGGATGAAGGTCCAATAATAGTTGGCAAACCCAAGGAGTCTCTGGACATCCTTCACTCGCCGGGAAGGTTGCCAACTAAGCAACGACTCAACCTTACTCGGCTCATGGAAGTGCCTTCCGGAGAGATGCAATGTCCCAGGAACTCGATGGTGGACTAGAAGAACTGGCACTTCTCCAACTTGGTGTACAAGCGGTTCTCCCGGAGCCATTGCAGAACCAGGTACAAGTGGTGCAGGTGGTTGTCCCTTGATTTGGAATAAATCAAAATGTCATCGAGGTAAACCACCACAATTGATCAAGGAGGTCCCAGAAAATGTCATTCATAAAATGCTGGAAGACGGCGGGAGCATTGGTCAACCCAAACGGCATGACCATACATTCAAAATGCCTGTTTCTGGTACCAAACGTCTTCCACTCATCTCCAGGCCAGATCCGCACCAAATTGTATGCCCTGCACAGGTCCAACTCCAAGTAGCGTCCTGGAGCCGCTCCATTAGTTCCGGAATCAAAGGTAGAGGGTACCGATTGTGCACCATGATGGCATTCAACCAATGGTTGGAACATACTGATAGAAGGATACAAACTATTCAAAAAAATCAGACACCATGAAAGAGGAGGTGGAGTTGCACTGTATGTAAAGGACCACTATATTGCTACAGAAATGCATGAAACCAAAGATGAAAACTCTCTAGAATGTATATGGGTCAATATAAAAGGTAGAGGAGGGAACTAGAGGGACAGCTATACCGGAATTAATTCTTACAAACAGAGAAGAAATTATAGAGGGAGTTGAAACTGCAGGAACCTTGGGTGAGAGTGATTGTGCCATACTAGAATTCAACAGAATGCAAACACAAGCAATAGAACATAATGATACCATAGTCTCAGATTTTAAAAGAGCTGATTTTAATAAACTCTGAGAGAGCTTAGGAAAGATTCCTTGGATGAAAATCCTAAAGGAGAAAACAACTCAAGAATCATGGGAAATTCTGAAAAGTCCAATCATAAAAGCCCAGACCAGCAAAATACCACTGAGAAAGAAAAACAAGAAATCCAAGAAGAAACCAGCATGGCTGCACAAAGATCTCTGTGACAAATTGAAAGACAAAAAAGGACAAGTACAAAAAATGGAAAGAGGGACACACAACTAAAACAGAATATCAGCAGACAGACAGAATCTGCAAAGACAAAGTCAGGAAAGTAAAGGCTCAGAATGAACAAAGACTTGCAACAAAAGTCAAAGATAATAAAAAAGTTTCTTCCAATATATAAATAACAAGAAAAAATCAAGGAAACAGTTGGTCCACTAAAGAGAGAAGACAACAGGGAAGTAACAGGCAACACAGAGAAAGCAGAGCTGCTTAACTCATTCTTTGCAATACAGTCAAGGTCTAGTGAGGTACTAATACCACTCTATAAAGCCTTAGTAAGACCACACCTAGAGTACTGCATCCAGTTTTGGTCACCACACTATAAAAAAGATGTTGAGGCTCTAGAAAAGATGCAGAGAAGAGCAACCAGAATGATTAGGGAACTGGAAACTAAAATATATGAAGAACCATTACAGAAACTGGGCTTGGCTTGTCTAGTGAAGAGAAGAGCCACGGGAGACATGATAGCAGTGCTCCAATATTTGAAGGGCTGCCACAGAGAGGAAGGGGTCAAGCTATTTTCTAAAGCAACTGTAGGCCAGAAAAGGAATAATGGATGGAGACTGAACAAGGAGAGATTCAACTTAAAAATAAGGAGAAATTTTCTGATAGTGAGAATAATCAACCAATGGAACAGCTTGCCTTTGGAAATTGTGGGAGCTTCATCACTTGAGACTTTCAAGAAGAGATTGGACTGCCATTTGTCAGAAATGGTGTAGGCAGGTTGTTAGGTATAACATTGATACCAAATATGGTTTGGGTGAATAAATAT